ATGCACAGCAGGTCACCTGACCATCCAATCCTTCCAGCAGGTTCCAGCACATGCCAAGGTATACCAGCTACTTCCATGTCATAAAGGCTTAGTCATGTCTCTTGACCAAGCAATGAGCTGGTGCCCTGACAGGAACTATGTGTGGCAAATAAAAGACCCTTGCACCTAGAACAATGAGCAAAGCAAGATGGGCTCCCCTAGTGCTCACTGAGTGTGCAGCTTTTCCTTGCATGTCAAAAGAGCAAGAAGGGTAAGCTCAGGGTCCTGCTTCCTGGAGCAGCCAAACATATCTTGAAGACAGCAAAAAGGGGTTAGAGAAGTTGGAAAAAACTGGTGGAGATTATTGAATTATGTTCTTTTTTTAAATTTTCCATGATATTAATTGTAGCTTATTTTGTTTCTAACTGTGCAAAAACAAAAACCAGGACCCCTGTAGCCTCAGATTATTCCTGCCCTGCCAGGTGTGAAAAGGGTGTGACTGTGAGTATGTGAAGGCATTCTGAGCATTTGCCTCTGAAGGGGCATTGTGGGAGCAGTAACTCCATGGAGGGGGCACCAGAGGAATTCCCTTGTGTATTCTCTGCTAACCCTGCACACCGGAAGCAACTGTCATGTATGTCCTGTGAAGCTTGCTGACAACCTTTGTGAAGGAGCCGTGCCAGCACAATCTTTGACAACCTCCTCCTCAGTCTAGCCCCCCAATCTCAGAGCATCTGCAGGCTTTCCATGAACATTGGACCATTGCACTTCCTTTGTACCATGCGCTGGTACCCTTACTTGGACACCCTCCACTCCAGCACTTTGTTCTCCAACCTGCCTGGTCTTGCCATTTTGAATCCTCCAGTTCACCCTCCACCTTATCAAGACTCCAGGGCCACATCTTCATTGAGAACATCTCCTAACAAGAGAAGGGGTAAGGTGGTCAATCAAGTCAACTGGGCGGCAAGATTGTGTCAGAAGATATGTCAGCAGTGAAATCCTTATTTTTGGCAACAGGATCAAGCAAACATGCCTGTCAGGGCACCAGCTCATTG